TTTCGGCCTGACAAACTCTCCCTGACGTTCCAAACGATGATGAATGACATTTTCCAGGACCTCATCCTCTCCGGAGACGTCATGATCTACCTTGACGACATCCTGATCGCCCATTCCGACCTCCGGAAACACCGGCAGATCGTTCAGGAGGTCTTGCGGCGACTCCGAGAGCACAAGTTGTACCTCCGAGCGGAGAAGTGCGACTTTGAAAAATCGTCAATCGAGTACCTCGGAGTCATCATCTCCCACAACCACGTCGAAATGGACCCCGTCAAGGTCGCAGGTGTCTCCGCTTGGCCGACTCCGGAGAACAAGAAGGACATTCAGCAGTTCCTTGGGTTCGCTAATTTCTACCGCAGGTTCATTCGGGACTTCTCAGCCCTCGCGCGACCGCTCTTCGTGCTCACCAAGAAGGACCAGAAGTGGACCTGGGGCGACGCAGAGGCCTCCGCGTTCCAGGCAATTAAGGACGCGGTCACCTCGGAACCGGTTTTGGCGATTCCGGACGACACACGGCCTTTCCGACTCGAGGCTGACAGCTCTGATTATGCGACGGGGGCGGTTCTTTCACAATCCGCCCCGGACGGGAAGTGGCACCCTGTAGCATTCTATTCCAAAAGCTTAAATGATGTCCAGCGCAACTACGAAATCCACGACAAGGAGATGCTCGCGATCATCCGCGCACTCGAGGAGTATAGACACTTCCTCGAGGGTGCCGCGCATCCCATCGAGATTTGGACTGACCATAAGAATTTGGAGTACTTCAGGAAGACGCAGCACCTCAACCGGAGACAGGCCCGCTGGTCCCTCTACCTCTCCCGGTTTGACTTCACGCTGCACCACAAGCCCGGTCGCGACATGGGCCGGCCTGACGCCCTCTCTCGGAGACCCGACCACGGAATCGATTCCGACAACTCCGGCGTCGTCCTTCTGCGTCCCGAACTCTTCCACGTCCGCGCACTCGAGGGCGTTTCCGTTCCGGTCCCGGTTCCGAACTCCTTCGCGACATTCGCGATGCCCTCTCTGGTGAGCCTGACCTGGAAGAGCCCGTCGCACTAGCGGCCCGGCAACTCCTTAAAGTCCAAGGTCAAGCTCGAGGCCCCCGCTCCTCACGTTCTGACGAGTGGGCCGTCTCCGGCGGTCTTCTCCACTTCCGAGGGAAGATCGTTGTACCAAAGGACAAGGACCTCCGGAGACGCATCATCGAGCTCTGCCATGACACTCGAGTCGCCGGACACGCAGGTCGCTTCAAGACCTTGGAGTTGGTCTCTCGGAACTACTGGTGGCCCCAGATGTCTCGCCATATCGGCCGGTATGTCGCGACCTGTGACCTGTGCTGTCGCACCAAGGCACTCCGGAGACTTCCCCACGGAGAGCTGCACCCGACGGAAACGCCCCCAGAGCGTTGGCACACCGTCTCCGTCGACTTCATCGTCGAGCTCCCTGAGGCCCATGGGTACGACGCGATCATGGTCGTCGTGGACACCCTCGGAAAGCGAGCCCACTTCTCGGAGTGCCACACCACGGTCGACGCAGTAGGAGCAGCTCGCCTCTACTACCGGAACGTCTGGTGGCACCATGGGACTCCGGAAAAGTACGTCTCCGACCACGGCTCGCAGTTCATCGCGGACTTCACCCGAGAACTATGGCGTCTAATCGGCATCAAGCCTGCCACGTCCACCGCGTACCACCCGCAGACGGATGGCCAGACAGAGCGCGTCAACCAGGAACTGGAACAGTACCTGCGGATCTTCACCAACTATCAGCAGGACGACTGGGACGAGCTGATTCCGGCCGCGGAGTTCGCTTACAACAACCACGTTCACTCCTCCACCCAACAAGTTCCTTTCATGACGGACACGGGACGACTCCCGCGCATGGGCTTTGAACCCGGAGTCTGTTCCGCCATAGAGTCAGTGAACGAGTTCCGCGACCGAATCGCCACTGGGGTTGCCGAAGCCAAGGCCGCGCTTACTAAGGCCAAGGAGGAGTACAAACGCTACTACGACCGGAGACGCACTCCGTCTCCGGAGTTTAAGGTTGGCGACCGTGTCTGGCTGGATGCTTCTGACATCAGGACGACTCGCCCCTCGGAGAAGTTCTCCCACCGCCGTCTGGGACCATTCAAGATAGTCGCGGAGATCAGCAAAGGTGCCTACAAACTCGACCTCCCTCCACGCTACTCGAAGCTCCACCCGGTCTTCCCCGTCGTCAAGCTCGAGCTCGCTCAAGACGACCCCTTTGATGGACGCCCTGGCTACGACCAGCCCCCTCCGGACCTCGAGGACGGAGTCCCGGAGTGGGAAGTAGACGAAATCTTGGACGCTAGGGTCAGGTATAGGCGGCTGAACTACTTCGTCAGGTGGAAAGGCTACGACGCGTCGCACGACCAGTGGGTCCGCTTCGACCGCGTCTTCGCCCCAGACAAAATTGCGGAGTTCTATCGTAGGTACCCCGGCAAACCACGGCACATCGCCTCCACGACCTTCGACACAATTCCTTTCCGATCTATGCGTCGGGGCGCCGCATTCAAAGGGGGGGGTGATGTCAGGGGAACCTCCCTTTCGGCCCGGAATCGACCCGATTCCGACTCCGGTGATCGCATCACCGCCATCAATCGCATCACCGCCCCCGCCTGGCGATCCCCCTGGGACCTGGCCTGCGACATGGCGCAGGCATACTGCACGGAGCAACGATCAACCTTGGCGCGTCAAGAGCGCAGTATATAGTTCAGCTACCTAGCAGGCGGACCCTTAGAGTTTCTTCTCTTTGGATCCTCCCCTGCTAGGACCTTGATCTCAGGCCTCCGGGGTTGCCCTTACAGGCACACACGTTGCGCCAGTTGGGATACCCGATTAAGGCCGCCCTTGATATATTGGCAGGGCCGCTCAAAAGGGCCTCGACACATGCTGCAAGTTGTTAGGGCGTCTGTGATGCTGCTAACGAGGAGTCTACCGTCATAGTTGGGCATTGTTGTCCTGTTGCCAAAAAATATCCGTTGAGACGAGATTCACTGGTAAGAGAAGCTATGACCACTCCGCATTTATACCATGCGACGCGGACTTCGGGCCGCAGTAGGATTGACCAGTCTCTCCAAGACGACTATGCAGTGCCATCCAGCTGTCGGCCTTATCGATCTCTCTCCATGGGGTGCTCCATGAACCACAAGCCTTTGTTCTGCAGACGTCATGGTTGCCCCAAGATAAGGGAGAGTTCTGGATCAAACATCGTTGAAGCGAGGAGAAGAGAACATGTTTATATTGTCAACGAATCACTTCATGACAACCGTGAACAAGACTACTGGGGAAATGGGAAGCGCCAAACATCCCAAATGCCGGATAGATTCATTTTGGAGCGGTCATCCGCATCCCTTGAGCAGAGCAGCAGCATATGACGACACATGTTGCGCGGAGATTTTTGTCATTTATTTTCCCAGAGTCGTAACGGCTTCTCGGGAACGTCCAGTCCAGAATTGTGGGGCAGTTTTCGGTGCGCGGAATGAGGGAGTGAATGAAGTTGCATGGATGGGTAGCTGTCTCCAGTATGCAGGCTAAGAGCGGGGAGCAGCGGTTCAAAGGGGCATATCTGGGCTAGCGTAGGCGACGCTGGTTCTTTGGTTCTGCATTGAAAGAATGAGTCGAAAAGCTATGACGTTGGCCGCTGAACGCACCCCTGCTCCTCCCTCTCGCATTGGTAGGCCCTGTGATTATGCTGGAGGCAGCTGGACGTGAGTCGGACGATGACAAGCCGAGAGGATGCGAGAACGGCGTTGGCGAGTTGGTCCCAAGAGAGAACGGCATGAGAAGCTCCCGACCAGCAGCCGTAAAGCGGGTGGCGAGAGAGGGGGGGGCCGTGTCTGGAACAGAGGAATAAGCCCTTCCGCGTTAAAAAGAGAAGGAGAAGGGTCAGACTCACTGCAATGACGCGTGGCCCGCACCAAGTACCGCGTTTTGCTCCCTTCTCGACACCCTCCATCATTCCTCCACTCCTTTCGGCGAGTGCATTCGCATTTTCACCCTCTGGAGAGCCTTCGGACGCCAGCTTGAAGCCATTCTCGCGACACAGTAGTTGCCCTGAGTAAGCGCCTCAGTCAACAAGCAAAATTGGCGAGCGCAGATACGTGCCTTGTCAGCCAGCGGGACCTGAGCAACGTAGTCCGGATACCCTCCTCTTGGTCGACATTGGTGAACCAGGGTTAAATGAATGAGCGTATGATCACCAGGTGGTGGTCAAGAGGAAGAAGGAAAGATCTGCTGTGACGTTGCGAGAGGCGGCTATTCCCACTTTCCTTCTGCTCCCACTACGATTCTGAAGGCCCTTTAAGTCCCAGAACCCAAATGGACTCTACACTCTCAATGGAGACTCACGCCGTTGAGGACGACACCACACAACTGCGTCAGGAAGCAGACGAGATCGACAAAGCAATCACGCGCCTCAAAGCCGAGCTGGCCCGCCTCGAAGCCCAGCGCAAAACCATTCGGGGGAAGCTCTCCCGTGTCGTCTATCCCGTCAACAGCCTCCCTACCGAGGTGCTCTGCCACATATTCGCGGCGGCGGCATCGTCGTCCCCGCTGAAGGAGGTCACCGCTGTGCTCCTCAGCATTACCAGTGTCTGCCAGCGCTGGCGAGACGTTGCCATCTCCGAGCCAGAAATTTGGACCAGATTGTGCTACGTACTCGACAACCAGGATCGGGACCGCCTTTTTTACCGCTTCTTGGAGCGCAGCAACGGCTTGCCGATAACAATTGCTCTGGATGCACGCGACCATCTCTCGTTGCCACCGACCTTCTTCAGATCGTGTTCTCAGTGGAAGGAAGCCGATATATCCCTCCCCGGGGGATTTGTTTTCGACTTTCTTGCCATAGGATTCTCCCTGATCCTTCCCCATCTCGAAACGCTCACTCTAGTACTTCTGCCCAAAGACTGGGGGTCCGCATTGCAGCATCCCGTGTTCTCTAACGCACCGCGGCTCTGCGATATCTCCATCGCCTATCCAAACCTCCTTCTCCAGCTCGGTTTCCCTCTGCAACAGCTGCGCAAGTTAACTCTTCTGCAAGATATCTTGCTGCACGAGCTTCTCGCGCTGCTCCCGCATGTTCAGGCGCTCGAGCATTTGTCAATCTACTCCATCCTACGCGTGCGGGACGATATCTCCGGCGACAGGCACATCATGCAGTCCATGTCCACGTTGTCGCTTTGTGGGAAGGGCAGCAGTCTTATTCTGCCGCACGTATTCCTGCCGCGCTTAACAATGCTCAGTATCTCTACCTTTGAAGACATTGACGCAGAAGTACTCGTTCGCCCTGGCATCCTCCGCTCCTTGTCTAATCTGGCAACACTGGTGGTACACCTCACTTACTACAACGATCTGTCCTTCCTCGCGCTCTTGCGCGCCCCTGACATCAATATGTTAGCGGTCAAGCATCTGATTGTGACGTTGGCCAATATGTCCGCCCAGACCAGACAGGAGGTCGTCGCCGCCTTCTCCCGCCACGACTTCCTCCCCGACCTTGTGTCCTTGACGCTGTTCATTCCCTCCGCCGTCCCCTCCAGCACTATCCGCCCTTTCGTCGAGGGACTCGGCCAGCGGGTTGCGGACACGGTCGTTCCGCGCAGTGTCCCGTTCAGAAGGCTTGTTGTAGAGTCCCAGATTTCGCCGAATGCGATTTCCATCGATGATGCGCGGGAGCTGGGCGCTCTGCAGCAAAGATTGCAAGAAATGACATGATGGGTTTCACGCAAGAGTCGGCAAGATTATATCCTTAGAGGTGTAGAAGTGCGCGCAAGTGCTGCTGCAGCTGCATAGATACCTTTTTTGCCAAATTTACCAGTTGCCAGTCTCAACAAATTGTGCAATGTTAACTTATGAACAGCATTGAAGTTAATTTAATCCAGTCAGAATTTACAAATCCGCACGCATACTAATCACTCATCAACCCATTCCACGTCCTCCTGCCGCAGCCGCGCAGCTCCCCCCTCGTACATGAAATAGTTGGGACCAGAATGGATAACGGGCTCGGCTGGCAAGCCTCGGCCCGGCTTCACCCGCGCCTTGCTCCCTTTGCCCGACGACCCGCTGCGCCCAGGCATGCCGGGGACGCCACCGCTAATGACCGTAGTATTCATCCCGGGGAATCTGTAAGTCCCTCCCCCGGCGTTGTAGTATCCATTCCATCGGCCATAACTATCGCTGCCCGCCGCCCCCTGTCCCGGACGTCTGCTCCGCCCGGGCCGCCCCGGCACGCCGTCCGCAAAGAAGCTGCCGAGGTCGAAGTTGCCTCCTACGACTATGGCGCTCCCGGCGCCGCCAGTCCCGCCATTACCTCCTGTGTGCGCGCCAGGCAAACCTGGCAACCCCGTGCTCCCCCGCAGGGTGTAAGTGGTGCGGGTCCCACCGGCGCGCAGCAGGTCGTCGAGATTGATGACTCCGGCGTCGACCCCTGGGACCGGCGGTGGCGTCGGCGGGCGGTCGGCATTGGCTTTAGGCTGCGTCTCTTCCTGACAACAGTGAGCAAGCTTGCATAGCAGGCAACAACACACTTGGCATACCGCTCCTTGGGCTTGTGCTTGCTCGTCGTCTGAATGCTCAGTGCTGTCTTCAACGGTGCTGGCCGGTGTCTTGTGGTGAATCTGGGCCATGGGTGCTTTCGAGGAGTTGGAGAATAGCAGCAGGATTTGGCCCGCATTATATAGAGATAGAAGCGGCCGCGTTTCTTGTCCACAAACCAAAGTTGGCGATCAGCAGACGTAAACAAATGAAAAATGATACCCTTCGCTCCGAGTCCGCGCGGCGACCGTGCGGTACAGTGTACACGCTCGCCTGGCCCTGAGGTCTCACGCAGGATTTACTGTAAGTGACTAGTAAGCGCCGCACAAAGTGACAAATTGACGGACACAACTAGCAACGCTGCAATTGCTGCACCTGCATCAATTCGATTCAGTGCTGAGCTTTCGCATGCGACGCCGAAGCCACTTACTAGGCTAGTCTTCGGGACGGTCTTCTGCTTGACTTGAACCTGAGCTCGCTTCCCATGAGCTTCGTGGCTCGCCGAAATTCTTGCGCCGCGACAGATTAAGTATTAGCGCTGGAGTCGATCGCCATTTTCGCAGCGCGTGTCAGAAATTCGATGTATGGAGAGGAAAGAAAGGGTAGACACGCGGCTGGGGACTCAGGCTATAATCGAGCAAGCAACGCGTTCAGTAAAGGAACGGAAAAAGGAGCACTGAAAGCCCACACGCGCGGAGGATGAAAGTCGGCGACGAACACTGTGCGACGGGTTAGCCACGACGCGATCGTAAAAATGAACGAACCAGGTAAATGAATTGTAGGCAATACTAATAAGGAAGGAAGCAGAGATGGATAAGACAGCGTGGATGTCAAAAGGTAAGGTAGGTAGCAAGTACAATAGGTAAAAATTGAGTAGGTAATATGAGGTATGTAGCCACGAGGAAGAGTGCTCAGAACAGAGCAAGGGAGACGGCGACGGTAGAGTGAGGACGGGAGAGAAATGGGACATTAACAGATAAGAACACCCACACAGAAGCTGATTAGCACGATCAAGAGTGCCGCTGCCTAGAATCATCCCAGCTACCACGAGGATGGAATTGTAGCGGAAATCGTGCTTGAGGAGAAATCCGCAGGACGCGAGCTCATTGACAACTAGAAACACGGCCGCGCAGTCTTCAGCGAAACCAATTCGAAAGGGATACAAGGGGCCGTTGTCGACAGAAAGATATGACTTGAAGCTTTCCACACCGTTCTTCATCACCAGTGGGATGAATCTCCAGCTCTTCTTCTTCTCAGACCTGCCACCTCCAGTCCGACCAAATCTCCCTCGCCTCACCCGGCTTCACCCCAAACGCGACCGACGACAGGCATAGTCCCTCTATATCAATCACTTGGCTTTTTAGATGTCGGGAAGGACGTCTAGAACGACCAAGGCTGCATTTGGTCACTGCGAAAGCCAAGTAAGCACGAGCACAAATGTCGGATAACACACCTCTGTCCCGAGCCAGCGCCTATCTCTCCACCCCTGGATTCCGCCTCCTCGCGTCCCGTCTTCCCGCCTCTGTCGCACGCGCGCGCCTATTAGGCCAGGAACCTGGGTAAAAACTGGTCAGTATACAACATTAACGCGAGACGAATGCGCTCACCGTCATCCTTTCCAGCTCCGAGTCAACACCCATGGATTTGTCTCACAGAAGAAGGGTGAAGGCGCGATGATAGCCATCGTGGTGGTGGTCAGGAAGAGAAGGTAGTTTTGCTGTGACCTTGTTACTCAGGCACCGTTCCGACTACCTTCCGACGTCGACCAAGGTTGAGCACGATTCTGTTCAAGTTCATCATCGACACCAGTGCCCATGGAGGAGCATGATACTAGCAGCAGCGACCCGCTCAAGCAAAGCTTACCTCCAGAAACTCTCGATCCTTCAGACGTCATTCGGCTTCGGCAAGAGGCAGAAAACGTCGATAACACGATTCGCGCCCTTCAAACGCAGCTGCTCCAGCTCGAGGCGCGTCGTAGCGCCATACAAGACAGGCTTTCGGCCGTCATTTACCCCGTCAACACACTTCCCGCAGAAGTTCTTTGCCACACCTTCCAGGCATTGGTGGCTTCATCTATCCCGATTGAAGTCAACTCTGCGCTCCTCAGCATCACTGCAGTCTGTCAGCGGTGGCGCAGCGTTGCCATTGCGGACCCGCACCTTTGGACGACACTGTGCTATATCTTGCGAGCTCCGATTCGTGACTACCGCGACCCGCTGTTCTACTGTTTCCTGGAGCGCACCCAAGGGCTCCCAATCGTGGTCCACATTGACGAACGCGGGACCTCACAATGCTCACTTCCCTCAGTCTTGTTTGACTCCTCCCACCAATGGACAGAAGCCTACCTAACTGATGCGGATGCGGAATCGGATGGCACCACCTTCCGTACTTTCAGGCTTGGCTCTCTGGATACGGTGCTGAATCTTCCGTATCTTACCACCCTCACGCTTAATGTCGATATGTCCGCTGGGCATGACCACTCCCGGACATTCGGGAATGCCCCTCATCTCCGAGAGCTCACTATCAGCCACCTCCCCCTCGTCAGCCTCCTCGGGTTTCCGGTACACCAGCTGCGTAAGCTCACTCTGCTACGTAGCACATCATCCGGTGACACTCTCTATTTGCTTCCACGTCTCGTAGCCCTGGAGGAACTCACCCTCGACTCGCTTTTCCACAACCAACGTGGCGATCAACAGCCAATCGAGCTTCCATTGCTGACGACATTATCTCTCCTCGGGGATGAAAGCTGCGGGATAACGCGCTTCTTGATCTTACCACGTCTCACAACCCTCCGTCTCTCTACCTTCGACGAATACGATGGAAATATCTTGGTTCCAGACTGCCTCCGACGCTCCTCCGCCAACTTGGCCTCCTTGTCTCTTAAGCATGCGTATTACACAGACTTCGCCATACTCTTGCAGTCCCCCATAGTCAGCACCGCGCTTAAGAGTCTCACTGTCACCTCATTGAAGGCGACCCACCGCGAGGCCATGGCCCTCGCCACACTCCTTTCCCGCGCCGACTTCCTCCCGAGCCTCGAAAAACTCACATTTGTCGCCTCGGGGTCGCCCCCATATCTGCTTCTCTCGTTCTTGCGCGGTCTGCATCGGCGCGTTGCCCACTGGCAATCACTTTCCGGCAGTGCTCAACACGCAACGAACTTGAAACTGCGAAGCTTTCGGGTCCAGCTTCCGGAGGGAGTGTCCATGGAGGACATGCGCCAATTGCACAGGCTCCAGCAGACCCTGCACTCTTACCAGTCCGCCAGAGGAAGTACTGTAACGGACCGATTACCTCAGCACTTCGACCACAAATATATGTAGTTAACACTTGCCATATCACGGTGCTTATACCCGGCTGCTGTAGGACATGGTACACAATACTACTACTCCGGTACGCATTCACTTTACCTGCTCCAATGTTTGCTGCAGAGTGCGCAACTCTTGCAATTCCTCGTCGGACATTCCATCTGGCGACCTTTGCCACTCCACAATGAGCTTTTTAAGCTTGATCTTGTGCTGCTCCCCGCGCGAGACAGCATTGGCAAGGCGCGCGTTAACTCCCACCACGAATGGGCGAATAGAGCCAGAAATGGCAGGAGCGACAATGAGGGTTAAAGACTGGAGCTCGGGCAGAAATTCGGGGCTGGAAAACGCAGCAACAATGTTGTTTTGGGTTTCTTCCGACATGGGGACGACGGTGACGGTCAGATGGTGGAGCGGAAGCCTATTGGCGTCGGGAGAGAGCAAGAGCGCGGCTAGGGAGCGATCACGCTCATTCTTGAGGACAATTGTTATTGACACAAGATTGGTCAAGGAATGCAGGATTCCGGGCGCTGGGCGTGTGAAAACCGCTTTATCAAAGTTATTAAAGTCGGAGAGATGGAGCTTGGAGAGGCGGGGTACGTGCACGTGAGGCAAAATAACACTGCTGCCCTCCCCCAAGAGCGATAGTGTGGTCAAGAATGGTAGGTCAACTTGAAGTCTGTCGTCAACGTCATCCGAGTCATGATGAGTGTCGCTGGGTGGAATAGACCCAAGCGACAGGTCCTCTAACGCCGTCAGTTGCAGGAGCAGCACGCGAATGTCTTGACGCAGGCTGTGGTGCAGAATGGTAAGTTTGCGAACCTGGTGCAACGGAAATGCAAGCCGGGTAAGAAGGTGTGAGAAGTTGACAGACACTGTGCGGAGCTGCGGTGCATTCGAGAATGTCTGGTAGCGGTTCATAGTCCTGGATTCAGGTACCCAGAGCGAGAGAGTGACTTCTTCGAGATGGGGGAGGGCCAGCACAGCGGAATCGCCCAGGACGTCAAAATCGAGCGGGGAGGTGATGGGAAATGCTATTTTGGCGTCCTTCCACCGGGAACACGATTCAAAGAAGTTCGGTCGCCAGTCTAAGATACTCTTACTCCTTTCGTCCAGAGTAAAGCTGATCGGAAGCCCTCGGCTTCGTTGCAAGAAACGGCTGAAGAGCCTGTCCTCGCCTCCATGCTTGCCAGGAACATAACATAGTCGTGTCCAGAGAGCTGGATTCGCGATGGCAACGTTGTGCCAGTGTCGACACACAAGAATGATGCGCAACAGGAGCGAGTTAACCTTTTTGGGTTGAGTCAACGATGCTGCTGCCACGAATATGCGGCCAAGGACTTCAGGAGGGAGACTGTTGACGGGGTACACGACACCGGAAAGCTTGTCCCCGATGGCTTCGCGCCGCGCTTCGAGTTCGACCAGCTGGGATTTCAAGGTATGAATTGTCTTGTCGAGACTCTCCGCTTCTTGTCGCAGTTGGACGATGATTTCATGGGCATCCTCAGATTTTGAAGAGGGTTCAAGTGTCATGGATATCATATATGGATTCCCGACGAGTAAGTTCTATGAGAGAGGGTGGAAGTGGAGGTCAGCGAGTAAGTGCCAATGTCACACACTGAATCTCGACCACCCATCCAGTCGCCATCCCCGTCCCCTGCCTCTGTATCTCCCCTTTGCACCGACTGGGAGATGTGCGGACCATGTTCCATTGATCCCGCTGGCTTGCGAAGTACGTGTTGAGCTGGCCACCAGTTTTCAGTCGCTGACGCGCTTGTCAGACTCCAAGAGGACGGACAAGTGAGCCTTAGTGAGGCCTCGGTCTCTTGCCAAGGCCATGGGATTGTATATGCGGTGTGGATTTGGAGCTGGGATGTGTTGACCGACGGATTGGCGGAGGGGTAATGAGCAGGAGGATGAGCACGATGAGCAAACGGCTACATGGCATTCCTTGGTCGGCCTTACACCCGATCATTCTTCCTCCCAACCGCCACCGGGGCCCTATTATTGACACGCCAGCCTCTTTTGAAGACGACGAAGCCGTATCTGCAGCAGAAAATGGCACACTGTCTCTTATTAAGCCAGTTGCGCAACACCTTATGCTCTTTGCTGACACGTACCAGCTCGTTCCCTCGAAGAACCTGAACGTCGCAGCAAACACGGTGAAAACCACAGAAAACACGGTGAAAACCACAGAACGCAGGAATGAAGGAAGATCATTAAGGGTCATGCTAGACGACGAATAGATGGGGGCAGATACCGTCCAGGACGCGAATAACTTGAACATCGGACTACAGGATATGGTACTATCCGGTGTGTCTTTCCCGCCTACACCACAACTGACGAAACCGTACATTTCCCTCACAGAGCCGAATTTCGAATCTTGATATGGCTCTTCCTGCAAATATTTCCACAAATATTTCCGCCACCCTCTCTCACCATCTACCTCCTCAATATAGTCTAGCATTACAGGCAAGGACCGTCGCTTCTCCCATTGTGGTCATGCGACCAGTACTTTACCCCCTTACTTATTCATACATGTTTTCAAACCTCTTTCGCATTCTCGTTTCACCATGACACACCTCATGCTCTCCTACGACACAGATGTATGTAGGCATTCGGCAAATAATATACTAGTATGTGTATACGGACGCGATTCAGAGTAAAGCGGTCAAGCACATGAGTGACCCCAATGAAGAATGCGGAAGGGATGATATGGGGAAAGGTATGTAGGTGCTGATGGTATGGTTTTCGGATTGACTGTTTGAGGCTAGACATTATTTATGTCGGTATCGCCATACAGGACGAAGACCTTAGTCTCCGGAAGAAAGACGTGAAATTGAGCCGCATCGATAGCAGTTGCTTGATGGATCGACTATATGGCAGGTGGGGAAGACGCAAAACCATTGCAGCTATTGTCGGCATTTCGAGGATGAAGTGACGATAGGCAGGCCATAGGAGCGTATTCTTCCTTCTTTGCACCGTATGGGGTTCTTTCCGACTACTGGTGAATGCCAGCGGCGCGCGCAGATAAATGGGGGACTGGGGGCAATGAATGTGACGAGGAGAATGAAAACGAGCTCAGTAATGCGCTCCGAGATCGCTCACAAAGTCCGGCGGGTAAACGAATGGCGCAAGGGATTAGCGGGGAGAGTGATAGTTGGCACGTAATTAGGCTTAGACTGCGAGGAATGCGGCTTCGCTGCACCAGCAAACGTGGACGAGGAAATGATTCGAGGGGCTTGCGGCGGGTTATCAAGTGAGAGGTGCAATGGGTGATGAGGGCTAGATATGGGGGGAAGGTTCTGCTGGTGGTCTAGCAGCTATTTGCGTCGGTGTATGAGCGCCATTTCGGCCATATACATATGAGCAGCAACAATAGCATCCCGCGGGCTTGGAGTTGCAGCAGCAGATTAAGATTGACGTCAGGGAGAGGGAAAGGTCGTGGTGAGGCCAATGAAGCACAACGCAGACGAAGCTGGTGCCGCGCTTGGTATTGTCTGCGAGAAATGATCATAAGCATGAAGCCTGGGGAAATAGACCAAAAACGCACCTTCGATTTTCTCAACCCCGCCAGTGATCTTCGCGGGCCCATATTTGCTCCCACAACGTATGAAGCCTGAGGAACCAGTGGATGCGGAGGACAACGGTCGACAGAATTTTTACCCTGCGAGAGGAAATGTGAGATGAGTATGTACGCTCGCGGAAGGAGCAGTCTGTTGAAACATACCTTTCATGGTGTAGGAAACAGCGCGCAGTACAGTCGGACTGCCCCAAACTAACGCCCTTCATCCTCGCTTCCCGCTTTCCCTTCGTCCTGCGGACCGCATAATGGGGTTCGAGGTCCGGCAACTGTAGACTTTGAGGGCATTGTCGTGTGCAATGGGAGAAGGAAGAGCCAATGGCCATGGGGGCGGCGTGTGGGTCCAGAACACACGGAGGAAGAGAAGGGAAAGATTCACTTTGCTTTTTGAGCCAGCAGATGGTCAAGGGCATCTTGTACCCTCAGAGTTTACGGATAAAAAGAAGAGCAGGCCTCGTCGTTGGACAAGACGAGAAGGCTGCCCAATGACTTTCCTTAGCGAAAGCCATGACCGACTAGGAAACTCACCACTAGTTCCACGCTGTTGCTTCCCCTTCAGCCAAACTCCTTGGTCCCCGTATCCTTGCTTTCCTCCCAAACCATCAAGCTGTCCCTTCATCCGCATACTGCCTGGTGGTGGTTTTGACATCGAGTCGGACTGCGGCTATAAAGGTGAAGTAAGATATAGATATAAGCTGACTTGCAGGCTACGAACCGTGTCAAGTGATTGCTGTCCGAGTAGCTTCACCCTTGAGCGTTGCGTCGGATGATAATGATCAGAGTGGTTGGTCAAGAGCGCAATTGTGACTTCGACCTCTGACACTGTTACTCGACAACTTCCACGACAATTCTTTGCACGCGTCCAGCGTTCAACGTGTTGGTTATTCTTATTGCCACTGGTGGCTGCGCAAACTCTCTAGCTTTCCATGTCTACCAGCAACTCCTCTCGAATTGCCAGAAGCACATCCTACCTGTCTTCCCTCCGCCAACTATCTCGAAACAATTTGCCACCTCCACCCGAGCTTGGCCACGACCTCGATGGCTTCTCTCTCGAACTAAGTGCCTGCGACGACGAAATAACACGCCTCAAAGATCAACTCGCGGACGCTAAACTCCTCCACAAACGATTGAAGGAAATCCAGGACGCCGCAAAGAGTTTGCGGTCTCCCATTCGTCGATTGCCCACCGAAATCCTCGTAATAATCTTCAACCACGTCTGGACCGCCTTTGCGAACTCGGAATCCGGCCCGTCATCCGACCGTCCATGGAGTCATAGTCGGTTCCCAAACTGTTCATTCGATTTGTTCAATGCGGCTTGCATTTGCCCCGCTTCTCGCCATGTCGGAAGTCTGTAAAGCCTGGAATGTCATCATTATGGGCACTCCTGAGCTATGGACAAAGCTATACGTCAGTAGCGCTGCATGGAATGAATATA